TTTCGATCTCCACCCCCACCACTCATCCCCTCCCCCCCCCCCCTCCTGCTCTCCACGTCTTCCTTTAACTATCGTCTGCCCCCGCCATGTTTTTCATTTTTATTTTTTCTTCCATTTCTGTACGCGAATTTTTTTGTAATTATTTTCATCACGGGGCTTTATCAGCGCAAGTGATCTGTAAACGGTTATAATTTTAATGAAGTTAGATCGCTCAAGTTTATCTGTAATTTAAAAGAAAAAAAAAAGCTGCCTAGGGCTATGGATCGAACCCAATCATGGTCAAGATTACCTGTCAAGATTACATAACCTGGATAAAAATTTGAAAAAAAATCACAATAACAATTCGAGAATTTAAAAAAAAAATAACTCATGGACGTTTTTTTTTAGTTTTTTTTTCTTGTTTTATTACATTAGAAATGTGTCGATTATTTCTTCAAGTGAACTTAATACAAGGAGAGAGATTACCATTGGTTACCATGACAACAGTACAATACAAAACTAACTGGAATCCCCACCCCCCTTCCCAACTTGTCTGCGTGTAACAGAGCAGTTGTCAGAAAAAAAAGAAAAAAAAAAGGGGGGGGGGGGGAAGGGAAAGGAGGGTTGTTGACGCCGTTTTCTTCTAAGCCAGTTAGCCGGGGTTCGACTTCAGCATTTGACTTGGGATTCAGGACTCGTGACAGTGCCTAGTCCAGGGGCAAACACCTCACCATACCTGGACTTGATATTATTGGGTCCTAAACAACGAAGACCCGATAGAGGACATTTTTTATGAATGGCGGGTCTGGGTTTAAGGACGTCCTACGGGCTCGAACCCGGGGTTCAAACTCGAGATTGTCGGATTAACAGGCATACGCTCTACCATACGACCACGTCATCCCATTGGATCACCCATTAAAAGCATCATTACAGATAAGATTCGAAAGGCGTGTTTGTGTTAACAAGTCGAAACCGCGTGAAAAGACTAACGATGGCAGTAAACAGATTTCAAAACGTCCTAAGCAATGGCTTACTATTATATTTTACAAAATAACTAACGAAGAAATCCTGGCAGGACTAGGCTAGATGAGGACAGTAGCTCATCGAGGGGAGACAACTCCAAAATCAAACAGTTGCTGCCTTGTAATTTATTCTTCAATGGAAAAAGGCGATGGAAGCAAATCCAAATGAAAAAGCAGGCTGTATTGTGGGTCAATGGCGAGGGGCAGGGTGACACGTAATTTCTAATTATGTTGAAAGAAATCTCGCCCAAGATTACAATAAAGAACAAAGAAGAAGAAAATAGAAAATATTTAAATGAACATAAAATTACTAAAGCTTTGCTTGCTCTAGAATTTTTTTCAACACGCTTCAGATACAGCGAATTGTATTTTGATTGGTGTATAGAATATATTATTGTTTTTATACTTTACATGCGAGAGCTCATAATCATAAAGTGTTCTTTATGTTTTATACCAATCAAAGTACCCTGAGGTATAAGATCTTTGTTTTGTTGCAAATCAAACTATTAAACACAAAAGAAACGTTGATAAACTACTATTGTGTTCGACTGATGAAACAACCAAGAATTTCGCTGATGAATACAGAACCAATTACATAATTTCTTACATTGTTGTGTCACAGAGACAATCACAATTTATGGTAACGACTGACAATAACTAAACTAGCAACAAAAACAACCCAATAATTGGATTTTATCCGAATAGCGATTAAAAAAAAATTAATAAAGACATTATGTGCGAGATTATAAAATAATGCATAGAATCTATAATAACACGTTTTCCTTATTGATTTTTATTTCTCGTTCTGCCTCAAAATTTAAGTCAAAGACTTTTGTTGTGGTTACGATAAATTGGAACATAATTAAATATTTTTTTACAAAGGATTGTGAAAGAATAATAGTTAATGGTTATTAAAAAAATAACCCTAGCTTAATGAGGATAAAATTTCAAATACGAAAGAACCGAAACAAACTGGTCTTGTTAATCGAACTTCAATCGATATCGCTTTGTTCATTGAAACTTGGAGAATTATTTTTTCAAGCGGGGAAATGTACTGTCGCATGTGCCTTTCAACATTTTAAAGCGACGTCTCAAAGCCACGTCACAAAGCAACATCGTAAAGCAACGTCACAAAGCAACGTCACAAAGCTACGTCACAAAGCCAAAAAAAGGTGCAACTAGGCCAAGACAACACTAAAAATGGATCAAACAAAACAAAAAAACCTGACAACAATGGCTTTTTTTTAGTAATGTTCCGTACTATTTAATTGTTAATGAATTGAGTGCAGTTCATTGCATGAACTTTCAATTTCCCTTACTGGTTCTAAATAATGAATGCTTATTATATTATTCACCGTACCTTACAGAAACATATACGTTAGAAAATAATGATTGATGTAGAATTCTTTTTTAAAATACAAAGCAACAAAAAACAATTTTTACATAACGTTCCCTCTTTGAAACTAACGGTCCATGGGCAAGTGAAGTAGAGTTCACTAGATACAGTAAACCCGAGAAAACTTGTGTTTTACAGTATATTGGATGTCTTCAAAAAAACATTAGGTGTCTCGAGTGAACCTGATATGTATTCTCGAATGTTCTAGAGTAGTTTCCGATGAATATTTTACACAATGTATACATTTGATTATAGACAGGCTATTTGGGGGTCAGTTTTTCACCAGTAGAAATGTTGCAGAACATGATCTACAGTCTTCCACTTCGTTGTGGGCGAAATCTGTTTTGTTTGTGCTAATTTCTAAATCTATGCCCCATGACTATCTTGATTTCTTCAAACGTATATATATATATATATATATATATATATATATATATATATATATATATATATATATATATATATATATATATATATATATATATATATATATATATATATATATCAATATATATATATCAATATATATATATCAATATATATATATATATATATATCAATATATATATATATCAATATATATATATCAATATATATATATATCAATATATATATATCAATATATATATATCAATATATATATATATATATATATATATATATATATATATATATATATATATATATATATATATATATACATATTATATATATATATATATATATATATATATATATATATATATATATATATATATATATATATATATATATATAAAGAGAGAGAGAGATACCATTACATTTATCATTTAGTTTTAATGGATTGTTGCCTTACCAAAATTTGAAAAACATTCGATAAAAAAAGTATTTCTATAGTGTTTTCTGTTACAAAAACAAGTCAGCTGACTCTATTAAAGTTAGTAAAAGAATAATCAATGATTATACGATCAATTTAGATATTAGTTTTTGAACCTTGAAACCTCCAGAAAAGGTTTTTTTTTTCAAGATGGCGGCGTTGCCATGAAACCACATTTTCAAAAGAGTCACTTATACATGCCAATATTTTCGCTTTAGTAAAATAACTTAGATACACACAGATAAATAAAAAAGGCTTGTTTTTCGAGACGCAACCCATTAAATGATTTTTCAACATTTTGAAGTGGTAGAAAAGTAAAAAAACAAAAGTCTTTTTGGAAATACAAACTTTGATAATAAGACTTACGCTTACAACAGAGCAGCAGTAGCGTAGCGAGGGGGGGGGGGGCGGGGGGGGGACATATGTCCCCGGGCGCCGACCTTAGGGGGCGCCAAAATGGGTTGGAAAAATAAATTGAAAGGGGGTGCAAATCGAAAGTTTGAGTGGGGGGGGGGGGGGTGCAAATGGAAATCTCGAAGGGGGCTGGAAATCGAAAGTTTGAGGACGGGGGTGCAAATCGAAATCTCGAGGGGGGGGGGGTTGCAAATCGAAAAAGTTTGTCCCCGGGCGCCGGGAAGGGTCGCTACGCCTCTGCAGAGCAGTAGTGCAAAGTTTCATTATTATTGAGTAGTAAATTTAATAAACCGGGATCGATCTCCCCTAAACTTTCTCGAATATTCTTATATAAAACAACAGGGGATGGGAACTCGGGCTATAGACATGATTTTTAATCAATTTTAAATACTTAAAATACTTAAAGAATAAAATCTCGTAGACAAAAGAAGTGCACACCAAGTGAACGCCAAATAAAAAGTGCATAATAGTGCGCAATATTATTAGTTAATTTACATTAGTTTTTTGAGAAATCGGAAGTAGCGTAAATTACTACTTCCGGTCAACGGAAATTACTCAAAATTTAACAGAAGGTAGAGAATTAGATCTTTTACTTACATGTGAAATTTCATTTATCTATCTGAAATAGTACTCAAGTTATAGGCTTTTGAAAAATTCAAAGTAGGAAAAGTACCACTTCCGGTTATCGGAAATCGCTCAAAAGTTGATACGGATCTACGATTTTGATAAAATACTTATATATGAAATTTCATCAACCTAGCTGTAAAGGTACTCAAGTTATCGTGTTTACACACGGACAGACAGACAGACACACAGACACACAGACACACGGACAAGATTGCAAAATTATGTTTTTCCGTATCAGTGAGGTGTAAAACGTCGAGATTTGTAAAAATCTCGATTTTTTTTTTGCACGATTACAAGACTTTCTCTATACTTCGTATATACGAGAAAGTAAAAAAGGGCCAATTCACTATGGTCCAAAGCCCACAGCCCTTTTTACGCATACTCTTAGTAAAGAAACATACCGGATCACGTGATACACATATTATATTCTGGGTGTATTACACATGCACTTCAGCGTTACACGGTGGCCTTATTGTATATTAGGTAGGCTATATTACAAAACTAAGCTTTTATTTTACAATATGTAAAAAAAACAATAGAGCATTCATTATAAAAAATATTGATTTAGGCGCTTTATAACAATTCATTCGTACACATCATTATAGAGAGCCTAGATAAATAAATACATACATACATACATGTTATAAAGTTACATGTAATGACAGACATACATTTATATGCAACAAGTGAGTGAATTTTTTTTTACCTTGTTGTTGAGAAAATATTGTACACTGAATTTGTGTGGTCCCGGTCTGTTCGACTGTACTTAAAAGGCGAGAAATCCGACGTTTTGATTGGTCCGCGCGGTGCAGCCGTTTGTTGGAGCGTGCAGCCTTCGGTGCACTGGAGCGGGCGTTGAATGGTGTGGGGTTTGACTTATCCGCCCCGGCCTCAAGTTTCTAATCTATCCAAACAAGAAAAACAAAACAGGATTAGTTATAAAAGAGGGTTTTAATGAAGTGAGGGACTTTTTAGTGAAATATCATTACACTTGTCTGTTGGGTAGAGACAGTTATGTTAGTGTGACCCTAAGTAGAGACGTAGGCTGGGGGTTTTAGAGGATCCCACTATCGACCCCTGAATGAAAACTGTATGTGGTAGCTTATACTGCTACATTTTGTGATGCCTCGATGGTGCCGATTTATCAACAACCCAAAATGTTTGCCTTCTCATAAACAATATTGTATATACAAATATGCCTATGTATATATATATATATATATACGCATATTAATATCACATTATATATATATATATATATATATATATATATATATATATATATATATATATATATATATATATATATATATATATATATACATACATATATATATACACACACACATATATATATACAAATATATATAAATATATATATATATATATATATATATATATATATATATATATATATATATATATATATATATATATATACATATATATACATATATATATATATATATATATATATATATATATATATATATATATATATATATATATATATATCAGGAAACGAATATAAAAACATGCTCATGAATAAAATCCTGAATATGTCAGTATTTTAGTTTTGCTAATTTCAAATTGATTAGTGGTTATCTAGTTACCTTGTTGTTGTTTTGGCAGATTAAAAAAATAGAAACTATTTTAGTCATGGCAGGATATTGCCATAAGCATAGGAAAATATAATTGAAGACAGAAGTCATTAATTAAGCGACTTACGGGCAAAGAAGGATACGTTTAAAATAAATTATAGCAAGTCATTCACGACACTTAAGCGTCCGTTATAAAGGTAACAAAAACACCAATGAAAACATCATAGCCCCTTCGGCTGTGTATTAGCTGTGATGTATAGATAGGGGGTAACGACCTGACAATCACCTGTCTATTTACCTAGTCTTATATAGGAAAATTTACCTGTTTATCTACCTGTGAAACACAGTTGGACTATCTTTCTGTCATAATCTAAATATATATATATATATATATATATATATATATATATATATATATATATATATATATATATATATATATATATATATATATATATATACATATATATATATATAAAACCTAAATATAGTTGTTAATGATTAATTAATGATCTGTTCATATCCTTATCCATCTAGCTTCTATCATCTGCTTATACCTGTATCTCTAAACGTAAGTAACGCTTTATCTACCTTTCCATCTACCTTATTATCTATACGCCTACCTACTATTTTCCTGACAACATGTATACCTATATGTTCAAATACAGTTGTACACATACATTTATATCAACAAGATTACTTATATATATTTGTACAACTATACACTTACATTTATATCAACAAGTTTACTTACATAAATTTGCACATCATTAAATGTGCATGTATACCTACCGACTTAAATATATAGCTAACCCTTTACCCTTACACAAATATATAATTAACCCTGTACATTTACATAAATATATAGCTAACCATGTGCACTTACGCAAATATATAGCTAACCCTGTACACTCACAATAATATATAGCTAACTCTGTACACGTACATAAATATATAGCTAAACCTGTACACTTACGCAAATATATAGCTAACCCTTTCCACTAACACAAATATATAGCTAACTCTGTACACGTACATAAATATATAGCTAACCCTGTACACTTACAGAAATATATAGCTAACCTTGTACACTCACAATAATATATAGCTAACCTTGTACACTTACATAAATATATAGCTAACTCTGTACACGTACATAAATATATAGCTAACCCTGTACACTTACAGAAATATATAGCTAACCCTGTACACTCACAATAATATATAGCTAACCTTGTACACTTACATAAATATATAGCTAACCTTGTACACTTACATAAATATATAGCTAACTCTGTACACTTAAATACATATATTTCTAACCCTGTGCACCTACATAAATATATTTATAACCCCGTACACTTACATAAATATACAGCTAACCCTGTACACTTACACAAATATATAGCTAACCCTGTACACTTACATAAATATGTACGTGTACACATACATCTACATATGTACCTACATGTCCATTACCTCAATCACCCATCCATGCACTTCTACATCAATGATTTTCACCAACATAAACACCTACCTGCGCACCGCTCTGCCTGTCTACCTATTCAACTCTCTGAATATTCCCAACTAATCAAAATGACAGCATCACGAACTTTAATCCCCGCTTGATTCGCCCACCCCACCCCCTAAGCTGTCACCCTCTACCCCCAATGACGTATGCATTCATAATTTATATCACCTGTATTGAGGCTATATGATATAACTACCATATAAAAATTGATCATACAAGCCATTGCAGGATTATATTTCTCTAACTCTGGATTATCGGCTAATACTAGCTTAACGTGTTTACTGAAAAGTTAATTCTTCTCCTTTAGTTAGGTGAGAATTTGTCTTTTGTTTATTATCCTTTTTATTTCATAATTTACATAACATTACCAATAACACACTTGATAACATCTCCTCTGTTACACAGATGATAACTATAATTTTTTTTATGTACAACAAAGCGTCAGCTTGTTTTAAAATTAGATAGTTGATCTATTGTTAACATTCAGTGGTTAATGTTCAAAGGAAAATTATTGTAAATAGATGAAGTGAAGCGTTAATTCGTGTCAAAAACAAATTAATGTTGGAGGCGTCTGATGTTCGTGTTTTGGTCTGTGTGCGCAAAAAGGGTTTTCAAAATATTCCAAACTATGATGGGTACGTAAAAAGGCTGAGTTGTGAGATCTTGTGAAAGGCTGAATAGGAATTCATTTACGCCAGGCTCTAGATAAGATAGACAGGTTAGGTAATAGCAGGTGTAACATACTAGGTGACATATTGGTGACATGTCCAGTACAAAATGTCAGGGACATGTCAGGTATAAAATATCAGTGATATGTCAGGTATAAAATATCAGTGATATGTCAGGTATAAAATATCAGTGATATGTCAGGTATAAAATATCAGTGATATGTCAGGTATAAAATATCAGTGATATGTCAGGTATAAAATATCAGTGATATGTCAGGTATAAAATATCAGTGATATGTCAGGTATAAAATATCAGTGATATGTCAGGTATAAAATATCAGTGATATGTCAGGTATAAAATATCAGTGGTATGTCAGGTATAAAATATCAGTGATATGTCAGGTATAAAATATCAGTGATATGTCAGGTATAAAATATCAGTGATATGTCAGGTATAAAATATCAGTGATACGTCAGGTACAAAATATCAGTGGCATCTCTATATCAATGAAATGTTAGGTACACAATTTTTAATGACATGTCTCTTACTAGCAGAGGTAAGATACCATAGATACCATACATAACTGACATCTAAGTACATGACAGGTACTAAAGTGACATTTCGTGTATTAGCGAAAGTAAAATGTCACTTCCGGTGTTGCCGTATTTTGTATTTAAACAACAAGAACTTTTATTTTTTTAAAGATTTTTTTGGAATGATAGTCATTTTTTAATGATTTTTGCTTCGTTTTTAAAAAAATTACATTAAGTTTCAACAGGGTGATACTAAAATTGGTTAAAAAAATCCTTCCTTGAAGCATGCTTGTAGTTCCTCTGAGTTTAAACGTATTATGATATATAAATAGGTATATTAATGAAACACAAATATCCATTTTTAATTGGCTTTTTAAGCTAACATTTATAAAAAAGATCTTTTGAAAAATAAAACGTGATCTTTGAGTACTGTTGTTAATCCTGTAATCTACTAGATTAGCAAAACATACTGGTAAACAACTTGTACAAAAACTACAGCGTTAGAGTTTAAATGTTTACAAAGAATGGAAAAAACAAACATCCTATTTCGCCATTCATGAAAGTACTCTAATAGGTTTCTTTAAAGGGCTGTGTGGATTCAACAACTGAGGCAGGATGGAGGAAAAATAAACACACCGTGACAAACTCTATGAATGCTGCTGTTTTGTTGAGAGTTTAGTACAAGGTTGGATAACACAAATGGTTGTTTACTAACAGACACAAATGTGTACCTAAGATTGACACAGACACACACAGACACAGGCAAATACAGACATGCACACAGACAACCGACACAGTCAAAGACACACATTGAAACATATATTTTTAAAGGTTTGTGTCCATGCTTACATACACTCTTACAACTGCCACAATATATATATATATATATATATATATATATATATATATATATATATATATATATATATATATATATATATATATATATATATATATATATATATATATATATATATATATATATATATATATATATATATATATGTGTGTGTGTGTGTGTGTGTGAAAACACAAACACACACATACACACACACACACATATATATATATATATATATATATACACACATATATATATATATATATATATATATATATATATATATATATATATATATATATATATATATATATGCAACACATTTCGTTTTTGCGCCTTTTAAGAAAGTAATAACCACGAAATCTAACTAAGATCACAAACTTTGGGTATTGTATAGTGGAGCGGAATTTGATATTGGATCCATCATTAATCATAATCCTCATTAACCTAGATTTCACCTGTCTGCTATGAAAATATTAGAGCTCCACCAAAGATCATGCAAGGTTCAATTTTTTTTTAAATTTAATTTAATTTATTTAATTTATTCAATAACGGTAAAAACAGTAGGCAAGGTGGTTCTGTGTATATTTTCGCGAAATAAAAGTAAGTAAAGTTCCCTTTTCAAACCTGACGATCTATGGGGCTT